AAATTTATCCAAATCAAAATTAACAATTAAAATTCAACATTATAATTGAAATCACACCTAGGCAGATTTAATATAAAGCCCATGTTAGCCAAGTTAGAAATGAAACATAGGTTCATACACACCACTGGAATAGTCTGAGCATAGAAGCCTATGTTAGATTACTAGGTATTTTTAGTTAGTGTTAAGGACTAAGACATATAGAAACCCCAAGCCAATAGCCCCATTTAACTATGCAGATGCCTTAGGATGAAATAACTCGCCCATGGTTACTGACAAGGGCACTCTAGCCACCTAATAGTAAAGAAAAACTACACTTGCCATCACTATAGGAATATTAGAAACCTCTAATTTTCTGTTTGGTTAATAGTCTAAGGCTATCAATGAATTCGGTATGACAAAAAATTGTGCCTATCTTGATCGGGAATGTCATACCTAAATTTACCACTTATTTAATCTTTTTAAAGAGTTTAGATTTCTTTTAAGTTTAGGCATTCAACTTCTATCTAAAAATCAAATCAAACATTTCAATTCAAATATTTTCAGCTCAAATCTTTCAATTCAAATTTTTAAACTCAAATCTTTCTGCTCAAACATTTCACATCTAATGTTTAAATCAAACTTTTCAACTCAAACCTTGCAAGTTAAACATTTAGACCTAACTTATTCTGCCCAAATCCAACAAACCCAATCCATTCTAAACTCCTTTTTGACTTTATCATAATTCCACCAAACCTAACTCCTAAAATGATTTCCTAATTTCAATCTTCAGAGTATATCTTCTTCCCAGGATTGGTTATTCCCTTTTCTGGGCCTTTTCATGATATATTATCACTGAACTGTAAGTCTCAACTCTTCATTCCATAAACAATATCTTCAAATCTTGAATCTATCCATTAAAAATCTTAAAACACTAATTTTGGGATATCCAATCATGAAATCCTAAATGATAGAAGTCAATTTTTTAATCGAGAGTTTTCTCAGGAGTTCATAACTTCTATGTGTAATTAATTATGGGGATTTGCCTTGCCCTAATAGGGATACTTGATTGCATAATTAAAATGAATTCTATCTTACGCGCATGATATAGGTGAAAATTTTCTGGTTAATGTAAACTTATATATCTTAAAGATATTTATCATTTGAATGATTAGATCTATTTCAATGTAATATTTCTGCTCTCAGGGTAGTATATTATTTTTTAAATCATATCGGATTATTTAAATAGAAATCTGTAAAATCTGTGGTAGGCGCGTCACAATATACAAAAAAAAATCAACATGCATCATGATTATTTGGTTACTAGGACTTCATCTTCAAAGAGTTGTCCCGCCATTCACAATGTTTTGAGTCAAGTCTTGTATGCGAATCTATTTCTTATGAGAGTCAAATTATGTTATGGTATTTTTGCATAGGCATCCTAATTTCTATTTTCTTGAAAAATTATATCCACATTCGTTTTTCAACAAAAAAAAACCTAGTTCTTTTTAGTGTGAAACTTGTCAACTTGCTAAGCATACTCGACAAGTGTACCCAAGCATAAAATATAAACCAACACATCTCCTTTTCATGATTCGTATTGATATCTTGCTGACCTTAAAAATTAAAAAAACTAGTAGGGCTAGATGCTGTCATCTTTATTGAAGATCACACTAGAACCACTTGAACTTTTTTTATGAAAGAAAATTTTAAACTGTCAACATATTTGAAATCTTTCATAGTATGATTCTCACCCAATTTTTGTGAATAATTTAGGTTCTCAAAACCATTAATGCAGAAGACTATTATAACTCCACTCTCGGCCCATCTTTATTAAAAAATGACATCATTCACCTAAACTCTTGTGTTGACACACCCCCAACAAAATGGTGTGGTTGAGAGAGAAAACAAGCATCTCGAAGTGACCCATTCAATTATATTTACTAACAATATACCCAAACATTTCTGGGGAAAGTCCCACATTCACTTATCTCATAAATAGGATGTCCAAAGAGTGTTAAAATTTAACAAACCTCTCAACACCCACACCCTCATAAAATCCTACCCTGATTTTCAGTCCTTCACCTCTAACCTAACACTAAAATTTTTGTTTGCATTTTTTTTTGTTCATCTATATCAATCATATCAAAACAAACTTGATCTAGGTCAATCAAATGCATTGTTGTGAGCTACTCTTCAAACAAAAAACGGTATAAATACTACTTTTTAGAAACACAAAATTATTCAACTCCATGTGTGCCACTTTCTTTGAAAACAATCATATTATCCTAAATCTAACATACAAGTAGAGCGTTGGAGAGAATATTAGATTTGGGTACCAATCAGGAAGCTATACTACTTCAACGATTTCATGATTTCAATCCTCTATATGTTGACTTTATCATACTTATGTATGTAAATGATATTGTTCTTACAGGCAATAATGTAAGAAAACTTGTAATAATTGAAAGAATAATAACTTTTGAATTTGAGGTCAAAGATCTCGAAACTATAAGATACTTTCTGAGAATGGAGGTAGCTAGGTCCAAAGAAGGTATTGTCATATCGCAAAAAATATATATCCTTGACTTATTAAAAGGAGACATTAATTTTACGATGCAAATCAACATGCTCTTATGGATCACTATCGACGAGCATCAAAAGGAGCGGGTAACACTCTAGTATGGAGGTATCAAAGACTTATGGAGAAACTTATTTGTCACATACAAGACCTTTCATTGTTTTTTCTGTGGATATGGTGAGCCAACATATGAACGATCCAAATGAAGATCATCTAAAAGCCATCTTTCAAATCCCACGATACCTAAAGATGACTTCAGGATGTGAATTGATATTCAAGAAAACTGAGAACTATGACATTGGGATCTATCCTGATGCTAATTTGGCAGGAGAATTGACTAACAATAGATCTGCCACGGGTTATGTTCATTTGTATGAGGTAACCTAGTTCCTTGGAGAAGTAAAAAACAAGCTATAGTGGCAAGAAGTAGTGCAAAATCTGAGTATTGTGTCCTTGACCTAGGAATTTGTGAAGGGATGTGGCTAAAAAAAACTACTAGTGAAACTTCACATGGAGAACAAAAGCACTATTAAGATGTTCAGCAGGCACTTCATCTCTAGAAAGGTCAATAGAGGGGTTGTCCATCTATGTTATATCACAATTTAGTATGAGATTGTTAGCATTCTTACTCGGGTCTTCATCGACACCACTTTAGTCTTCTTAGCTGCAAGTTTGGGATGTATGACATATACAACCCAACTTGAGCAGGAGTGTTGACATGCATATAACTATGGACAACATGGGTCCACCCACAGTTTAGGAAACTGTGGGTCCGTTATTTCATTTGTGGGGGAGAAATTGTTTTCCCTTAATTATATACTATTGTGTGTTTATTTCTTTCCTTTTTGTCATGATGATTTGAATTTCTTTTCAATTGTATGAAGGTTAGTCTGAGTTATATCTATATTTCTTTATTTGCTTAATGTGAGAATATTGGATAGTTTTTTTCCTCTTAAATTCTACAAAGGGATTGCACAAGCTGCCACTATTATAGTGAGAATTTTCACTATCAAGCAAGCATTTGTGAGGGGCTACTAGAGTGTTTTTGGCGCCTTAGTGGCCCTACCAATACAAAAGTGTAGATGGATGAAGCCCCTAAGATAGAGGCGTTAGTGAGCTAAAGTATGTGCTGGTTTTCGAGTGAACCACTATAAAAGTGCGGCATTGCTTGACTGTAACCCTGAATGTTGCATGTTTGACAACAGTTACTGTTGTAACAAGGAGTTGGGTGGTCTTCACAGTGACTTGTGGTGCAAAACCTGAAAGAGCTGCTGCTGCTAAATGATTTTAAAGGAGGCTGTTTATAAAGAAGATTAGTTTCACTATTTTCTTATTGATCTCCCCAAAGGTGATAAGAGATTCATGAGCATTAACGCCATTAACAATAAGTTTGTTGTCGTCAACAACATCGTCAAGAATAATCTAAGATACGCCTTCTTCATCCTTGGGCTTGACAAGAATAGCAAGCTGATCAGCACGAGTTCAATCGAGGTGCATGAACTGAACAATGGTTTGAGAACCATTATTTTCTAGAATTGAACTTTGATTTGTTTAATTTGTGTGGGGGTTTTTCATAGGTAATTGCTAGATATTTTTCATGGAATGTGGAGTAAGTGGAAGAGTGATGAGGGGAGCAGAGGTGTTTCACAAGTATGTCGAAGATGAGTATCTGTTGTTTGATCCATGTATTATAGGTAGAATTGTGCATGTGCCATTAGTGTTGATGTTGGCAGCTGCGCACGGTTGTGATTAGATCTTTAATAATTCATATCCAGTGAGGATGGCATAAAATGAAAGTTTCTATGATATAGAGCTGTGGTGGTGAGTTTGATGAGATTGTGAGAGGAGAGGTTGGTGGCGAAGAATGGACGATTGCATTAATGGGTGTTAAGCATGGTTGGTTGTGATGTGGTTACTTTGTAAGTTGTATTAGTGGCCATTAGATGTTGTAGGAGTGGTAAAGAGGCGAGAAGTTGATGTTTGAGATAGTATAGAATAGAGATTTGGTAAGTTACAAGTTACAAATAAATCCACGCAAATTAAGCTTAACTAAATGCATATCAAGAGAGGCGAGAAGTTGATGTTTGAGATAGTATAGAATAAGGATTTGGTAAGTTACAAGTTACAAATAAATCCCCGCAAATTAAGCTTAACTAAATGTATATCATTGATCATCCTAGAAACCAGCTAATTTTTATTTTCATAAATTAACCAAATGTTTAAAAAACTTAGGGAAAAAAAAAACCAAATCCGCAAACATAATCAGGAATTTATTTTGACTTACTAATTGGTCCATGATCAAATTTATTGATTCCCAGGCCTAATAAAAATGCCCGAAGAGTAAATATCTGTATTAACATCTTAGTTTTGTTTTCATTTTGTCCCAGCAACAACTAATTCATTTTCTTACATCTAACTGTTTCAAATTCTCACTTTGTTGCAGGTAGGAGCTCAGACCTCACTAATGCAAATGAATTGGCTTAGAGGTTTCTCTTGGCAATCATACAATGACGATACCAACTTTAATGACGAATTATCATTCACCACTACAGGGTTATTGGAGCAAATAAATGTGACCAGAGATATCACTGATTATCTGTGGTATACAACTTAGTGAGTATATATAATAATGATGATTTGCACATATATCTTGAATGAACAAGTTTTTGTGGTGAATTTTTTAGCCCTTTCCACCCTCCTCTTATTTCAGTGTTGACATAAATGAAACTGAAGGCTTTTTGAAGGGTGGATATTATCCTGTTCTCAGTGTAATGTCTGCCGGTCACTCTCTGAACGTTTTTATTAACGGGCAATTATCAGGTTAGGGACTTCCTATGCAGCAGATGGGCCATATTTATCTGTACAAAATCTAAACCAGAGTTTATCTACATGTATATTTTTATATTATTATGGACATAAATGAAATTGTAGGTGAAACTTAGTAAAGGAGAGTTATGAAAAACGTTTAATATAAAATTACAGTGCTTCCTTTCTGTTCATGTAATCAAATAACTTGAATATTCAGCTACTCATTAGCTCCTTAACAGGTACGTCATATGGCGGCGTTCAGGATCCCAGGCTTACATATTCTGGAAATGCGATGTTGCGTGCTGGAAGCAACACAATTTCTATCTTAAGCGCATCAGTTGGGCTTCCAGTTATGCTTCGTTTGATCTTTCATGCATTTTATGTTCTGATGATTATGTTTTGTATGAACTAATGTGAATTGTACTCAGAATGTTGGGGAGCATTTTGAGACATGGAATGCTGGGATTCTTGGACCGGTGGTGTTAAGTGATCTTGATGAAGGATGGAGAGACCTGACATGGCAGAAATGGACTTACCAGGTTTGTCATCTAGGAATTATGTTCTCCACTTTTGGTTGCAGGTTGAGCAAAATTTTTATTCTGTTTATAGGTCGGGTTGAAAGGGGAGGCTCTAAATCTGCATGCTCTCACTCAAAGCTCCGAATGGGGCGACGTAGATGCAAACAAGCCTTTAACATGGTACAAGGTGCGTGTTATTTCGTCTTGTAAATAGAAATAGAAGTTAAAAGTTTTGAAGTTGAAGAAGCGAGTTACTTTGACTCTCAACGTAGAGGCTGAATAGTCTTCAGGGTGGGCTATTGGATGATAGATATGTGGCATGTGTGTGTCATCTGTTATTCATCCAATAATATGAAGATTTTCTTGGGATTCTGCGTGTTTTAATTCATGGTGTATAATCTTTGAGAGAGAAACATTAGAAAATAAAATTATTCGATATATAAAGCACACTAAGAATTTTATGCAGTTTTACTCGATTGATGATCGTAACCTGTTGCTATTGCTGCATATTTCACTATGATTTTATTATTTGTGTGAATTTTTGAATTAATCTTTTTCTCACTGAATACATAGATAATTCACCTATAAATATATGAGTACAAGAGATAAAAAAGAGGAAAAAAATCTCCATACAATTAAGTACATAAATACCAATAATTAAGGAATTACCCTTTTTATATCATGATTAAATATAGCAAGTACTTAAATAGAATTAAAGAAATAATAATGAGAGTAATTCCACTCTCCCCCTCAAGGTGAGTTGTACAGATTGTACATGCCCAACTTGTTGGTTAGCTCATCAAAATTGGACTTAGGGAGAGCCTTGGTGAGAATGTCTGCGGTTTGGTCTCTAGAAGGAGTATAGACCAATTCAATTATTCCATTGTCCATCTTCTCTGAAATGAAGTTCCGATCAATCTCAATGTGTTTAGTTCGATCATGATGAACATGATTCTTTGCGATACTGATTGCAGCTTGAATTGCACAGAACATCATTG